TTGTAGAATTATAAAGCTTGCAAGGTAAGTCCATTTAGTGACGGCAACTCTTGCTGTGCAGAGCCCAGCGGGTGTTATACGATGGCCTCCAGCAGTACGAATTTCGGGGCCTCCTTATGCTGTCCGGACTTCCTTCAACTTCGTGACGAACGTTCCACCAATGACAGAATAGTCGGCTCCAGTGACGACGAGAGCTGTGTCGCTGAAGCCATCGATGAGAATGACAAGGTCACTACACTAGTTCGTCGCCTGGCATTGCGGTTGGCTCGAGGTGTCAAGTGATGGGTGCATCGGCTTGTTTGGCTGCATCCATGCTGCGTCATCAGGTCACCTTCGGTGCGTGAGATTTCGTCATCAAAGCTCTATCTGGTTCGCTTCGTGTTCGGAAAGTTTTGTCGCGTTGTTGTCTTCGTCAGAGAATCTTTGGTAGTTTGTTGCACAGAAACCGCACCTCCATAGTTGATGCCCTTAGTTTTCCAAATATCGGCTAATGAAACGGTGCCGCTAGGAGCGACTGTACTGCTATCGTCGCTGAGTGCATTGGTATGGTCTAGGTGATGGCGAATGCGATGGTCATCGAGGTGCCTGTTCTGTGCTGGTTAGGTAGATGGCAATGTAACGTGGCAGCTCACCGTGCTGTGGGGGCAATGCGTTGACAGCGAAACTGTGTAGGCTCATTTGGCAGTACTGGCAGTGGCGATATGTGTGGCCTGCTTCTCCGCAGTGGTAACACAGGGAGTGGTTGTCAGCGACATGCCAGACCTCGATTTTCTTTGATGTGTTGCTCTGTCCAACAAGCGAACAGTATGGCGGTGATGGTGTCGGCAGTGTCTGGCGATAGTAGTGTGGCTCTGCGGCGTCTGGACGCCGCAGAGCCACACCGGTTTTTCAAACAGTGGGAGGGTGTTGCATCACGTCCGGCTGCAACAGCGTAGCTCATGACTTGTGGCTCAGGTTGCGCTGTTACAGGTGTTCGGAAAAATTGTTTAATTTCTTAGCGTACTACGTCGGCAATTGGCTCCACTCAATGCTGGGAGGGCAGCAGCAATTTACGGACCTCTTCCCATACGAAGGCTTGGATAGTCTCATGCAGGTCTCCAGTTTGAAAGGAGTGAACCTCCCCGTAGGTTGATGGCATCATGTAGCGGTTGTACTGCCTTGTACGCATTCCAGAGCCTTTTCAATCATCGTGGCCTCCAAAACGAATTCTGAGACCGTTCTTGGAGTGTTGCATACAAGGCCTGCGAAAAGTTCCTGCACTAACTCCCCGCATCAGGAAGCAAAGCACCTTCTCCTCAGACACGGCGGGATCGGCATGACAAAACAGAAGCCTCATTTCCACAGTGTACATCCTGAAGTTCTTGTTGGGGAGCTGTACATGGATCTCCAGTCAGGTTTCGGCTCTTTCCTTACAAACGACACTTGTAAAAGTGTCAAGAAATGCGGCCCAAAAAATGTCTTAGGTTGAAAGTGTGGCTTCTCGGTTTTCGAACCATGTTTGAGCTGAATCTTGTAGGGTGAAATAAACGTGCCGCAACTTGTCACCGACTGTCCAGTTGTTGAACAGGGCGACTCGGTCTAACCTTTCAAGCCAGCTTTCTGGGTCTTCGTGTGGTGAACCACAGAATGTCATCGACTCCTTCGGTTGCTGGAGCAGGATCGCCGCAGACGGCACAGGGGCTGTCATTGTCACCGTGGTCGAAGTCTTGGTTAGCTTGGTGTTTTCAGGTAGAGGCTCGTACTCTGGCGAAAGCCCTTGCTGCCGGCGACTGGCTCCCTGCTCCATGTCAACATCGATGTCCCCTTGAGAGTGTGGGCTTGGCTCCCGGTTGGAGGGTGGCAGTCGGTACATGGGCCAGCAAGCAGCTCCACTAGATGTCTAGGGTCGTGACATGAACGAAGGGAGTAGACTCGAGGTCGAAGAAGCAACTATTTATTCGAGCCGAACTTGTGGCCACGCAAAAGGAAAGTAAGACACTGGCACTGATAGCGTCGAACAGAGCATCGGCCATCGACCAACTGACAAGCGGCGAAGGATGTCAGCATTTATACGCTTGCAAGCAAATATTCTAGCATTATCTCTAGCGGTGACGTAGATTTCAAAATAATCTGTAATGTTCAAGAAGGAAGCATAATCTCTACAAAATGATCTACTACAACCTCGAAGCGTCTCGAACACCATAGGTGCAGTTTGAGCTAAACATTGTGTAACGGCGCATTAACAAAACTTGAGAAAAGGATGTGGCAATATTGTGCATACATGTAGCATTGTCAGTATGCTAGTAGTCTACCAGCTGCATACTAGAAAATAGTTCAACTTTTTTTGTTTTCAATTCGTGTCAGTAGGATGGTGAAACAGTTAAAGTAAGCTGTTTTCAATTTCCCAGTGCCATTTTCAAGCATATTTAAAGCAGTTACAAACAAATATATTTTTGAGCAGCATTTATCCTTTATAGCCTTTTGAAGGAATTGAACTTTTTTGTTACTACGCCTATTCAAATCAATCACCAATGACCGACGCTTTGAATCGTCGATCTTTGCTCATCGAGTTTGTTTCTCGTGCACCCAGCACTTTCTGGTAGTAGACATTTTCTTTATCAAACAATCAGTGCAAAGTTGGGGTGTTTATTATGCGGGCAAACTTTATGAAAACCTTTACGGGTGAGCAAAAAAATGCAGTAATGTAAAAAAAGTTTGGTTGCATTTCGAAAACAACTTTTTTGTAGCACTTCACTAATCTTCGGTGGTTTAATGCACTATATTCTGCAATCTGTCTTCCCCCGTGCTGCTCACACACTCTATGAAAAGGTTTCGCGGCTTTCATTTCTCACAATCGTTTCACTGCCACAGTGGTATCGGCTGTGATCTCAAGGGGCACCCAGAAACGTGCACTACGACGCTATGATGCACTTTGTCAGTTTTGTGGCAACCTCGCCTAATGATAGCGACGGCGCCAATGACAATGCAGCAAGTAACTAGCATTGCAGCAAGTAACTAGCATTGCAGCAAGTGACCACTGAAGGATCAAAACAAGTCGTCAATAGCAAGATGACAAAATACAGCCACCGTCTCACTGTCCACATAAAAAGTTACTGCAGGAAAGGTAGCCTATATCTGGCGCTGTTCCTTGAAGTAAGTGCGAATAACAAGCATGAAGAGCAAATTGCAACTGAAGGGAGAATCGGGTGTGCTATCATGTTACGGAAATCATTATAATCTTTTCAGGGCAACAAGCGATTTTTTCTGGTTCTCCAAAAACCTGTGATGCAATGGTGACCGCAAATCCTGTTGACGTCGATGAAAATTGCAAGCCTTAAAGTTTCATATTTGCAGGAAGCAACCATCGGTTGGCGTTTTGTGACCTTTGCTCCGTGTGCTTGTCAGCTGCGATATCTCTACACATGCACTGTTCGTGAACCCCGCTGTGGTGCACAGATAATTAAAAAAGGGGACGTTCTGTGCACCGATAAATATAAAAGCGATACGACGCGCGGCAGCGGGCGAGGAAGAGCAAGCCGAGGCGGTTGAGGGGTGCCGGCATATCATCAAAAATTGGAAGAGATCCAATGCGCAAAGAGGTGACAGGTGTTGTTTAGAGAAACTACAGTGGATGAATGTAAGAAGTGCATGTATTTCGTGGGAAAAAATACAATTTAAATTCTGAAGACTGAAGTTGGGGGCGCGTTTATTATTCTAGTGTGTTTATTATGCCAGTAAATAATGTAGTCAATTTACTGAAATTTGAGAATCAGCTTGAATTTGCCCCTTTTGGCAACATAGTGATTTTGAACAGACCTTTGTGTGAACCAATGTGAGTGTGTCTTAAAGGTACTTTGGTTAAATCTTGAAGGTACTTTGGTTACGCCCACATGTCACGATGTGCTGGTGCCAGCTGCAAAGCTGCTCCTCACAACAAGAAAGCCACCGGAGCACATCTTGACCCCACACTACAAAGTGGCGCGAGACATTTTAGTACTGCATGCATTTTTTAAAATACTCTCTGCAAAAATACAAATATTACAAATAAACATGCTTGGATGCGTACACTAGAACGCGAGCCTACGGTGTGTGGAAAAATTTGGCTGATGGAAAGAGGGGGGGCTAAGACTAGATGGAGTTCATTGGACATCACATTTATAAAGGGAGTGTTTGCATCATTGGCCCCCGTCTATATTAGAACACCTGAGGGCTGTTATCATAAAACAAACAAATAAAAATTTAACAAGAAAAGTGCATGAGTGCAGCCTATCGGTTCATGTTTTCTTTGTCTATGTTTATATAATATTGTGTAGAACATTGATTATGTCACACGATGTGTGGCTTATTTATATTCAAGATGCATATTTTAAATTTTGTTTGTTTTGAATGTTTTTGCATTATAGTGTTTTTCATTGCATTGTTTACGAGCTGCTAACCAAAAATTGCACACTTTCACATTTTTATTGATTCCAAAATATTTTTGTTGCTTTACAACTTATACTTTTTACAAAAAGCATTTCATTGCATATAATTTGGTATGTTGCAATGCATCCTGGAGTTATTCTAAAATTGGAAAGAACTTTCTTCTAATTCATATGAAAAATAACTATTTTCCCATGGTAATGAAAGAGTGAAGCAGCACTTGTGTCACTTATAATAATAAGTCAGTGCAAATGGCACGCATATTCAGTCAAACCGGCTTTTGACCTGCCTTTTTTTTTTAAGGTGTTGGCCCAAGTTACAAGGGGCAGCCTATAGATACAGTAAGTAGTGCACTGTTTCCAAAAGAAGGTACTTTCCAAAAGCCATAAAGTGGCTGGCTATAAACTCTTCTAGCAGCAGGGTTATTGCTGTCAGTGTTTGCTTTGAGTGCCTGCACAACAAATTTCTTATCACCAGCAGTGAAGGGCCTTCTTCACTAGCCACCAGGTGAGTCAAGCAGCGGCACTAGCGCATAAGCTAATTGCGACAACACTACCAAAAGCAGCTCCTGTGAAAAAATGTTAGTGAGCTGTACAAACCATCAGCGAACCCCAGAGCGATCTGCCGGTGCTTTCTCCCAATGTCCCATGCCACACGTGTGCAGGGCACAGGGCCTAAAGGCCCCGCTGGAATGTGCAGCCGCTGGCACTCACTGTCCACTCGATACATTGGAGGCCGGCCAGTTGTCAAGCCGGCTGGGTCGGGGATGCTGAAAACACATAGGAGGTTGGCTACATTAGGCAGGATGACACACATAACAACTGCCATGGCAAACGAGTAAAACACCACTTCACATGACCCTGATGCTCTTTTCAGGTGCCTTTAAACTGTAGTAAGATGCCATGAGGCAGAAACAAGGCCCAGCTGGATCAAAAAGGTGATGCAAGCAAAAGAAAGCTAAAGTGCCAAATCATCTGGGCAGCAGATGAAACTTCACAGCTGTTAAAGTGGTAACAGCCATTATTATGAATGACAGACACTCCTACAGCCTAAGAATACCAACAGCAACAGTACCTGTGAGATTCTGCCACATAGCAGTAGCCGATAATGCACAAGATTAAACAACAAAGTGGTAGTTTGTAATAAATCTCGTTAATAAATCTCAAATGCAAACTGTGTGGACACACTATATCGTTTCACTGATGCCTGCTGCTGCTTCCCAGCACCTACATCAAGAACAGCAGCAAAAAGACCATTGCTGTTTTCATATATGTTGTGGGCAACACTGACTAAGAAGTGGAGGCTAACTCAATGCTCAACCTGCGTATCTACAGTATAATGCCAGATTTAGTTCCTCAATGTAACATTTTCTCAGCTGCTATGTAATTTTTTGTTAGTCCTGGCATAGCTACCACACAATATAAAAAGACCACTGTTTCTACTCTCCCCATAATATCTCTGCTATTCACAAGGCTTTTTCTGAATAATACGACATCTGCCCCAGAATTTCTTGACCACGATGCCCGTTTGACATTCACTTTTCCTTCCACTACCGGCATGTCACAGCCTGTCAACATGTCTAGCACTGAACTAAGGATCTCCGTTTTTCTATCATCTTGGCAAAAGTAGTACCTATTTGTGACTGATTCACACATACATTAATCGGCCTTGTGCCTCCTTTCATGATATAGTCAGCATATTACAGCTGTTTCCTGCTGACCACTGCTCGTTCTGCAATTCATAGCTACATGCCCTAGTCCAGAAGTTTTCAAAGTGGGTTCTGAGAATTTAAGGGCTCCGCAGGCCCCTCCTCAAGGATTCACTGATAAATTTTCCCTGGTTCCGCACTTATATGGTGATCCCACAGTGTGAGCGGTCTAGAGAACCTCCACTATTCACGCCCGAGCGTCAACAGCACATCTCAGGGCATAACAGTAATGCGCAAGCTGCACCATAAATCCCACCAGAAGTTTGTGGACACCCGCACTCCGAAAACGGGACGCAAGGTCACCTAAATTTCAGGGGTCTGATATTACCACCATGCGCAAATCAGTTATTTGAAGATAGGTTCCGCTACCCTTATGCTCTGCGCCTCTGCTGTGCTCAATCATCAATCCCCACTGTTGGCCCTGCTCGTGCACTATGTGCAAATTTGGTATTACGCAAAATGAATGGATGACGAAGGTATATGACTGGTGCAAACATGATAATCATGACATGCGTGTCATGTAGGAACATGACTACATGCCTCGCTCATGATGCACTGGCGGCCGTTTTGCTAGCTTCCCATATATGTAGGCAGGGGCGTTGAAAAAGGGACACTTGCCCCCTTTAATACACACTAAGGTTTGCCCCCACTCTAGCGCTATACCAGCCAGTACTCTACCCCAGCCGTGGTACAACCCCCCCGTCCCCCAAGACAAAATCCTGCCGATGACCAAGATCATACGGCACACTTGACACATTTTACCACTGTGATTTTAGGTACCGCGTACGACTGAAAAGTGCAAACAAAATGAAAAAAAAAAAATGGCTAAAGCAGAACGTACTTTTATTTGACCTAATAGCAGTATAGCTGCGCACCCAGCCATCAGGGCGTTGTGATGTTTCGACTGTAGACGATCAATGAGGAGCTCGCTCATCTGCTCATTGAGATGCTGCGTTGACAGCTAGTGTTTAAACAATACCAGTTTTGTCGTTATGTAAAGGAGTCATACTTTTAAATTCACCATTGACTGGCATGATCTGATATTGGTGAGATTCGCTAGCTTGCTCTCTTCGATGCTGCAGCCATGTGAAACGAGGTGCTGCCATAAATTTTGTTCGAATCTCAGTAGCACTAATGGCACTACTTTTGTACCATTTTTCTCAGTGCTTTCTGATGCTAGTTCTAAATAATAGCTGACTTTTTATTCATTATAGTGCATAAAAAAGTAATATTTTTTTTTCAAGTAACATCATCAACGGCAGCAGTCCAGTAGACCGAACAAATCACTATAAGCCACCACAGTTTCATACAACACATGGCGGCTAGTAGTGGAGCAATTTGACACTAGCCTAGTGATTATCCTTAAGGAATACTGGTGTAACGGTTCAATAAAATATTTCAGTTTTATTTCTGGAAAGCGTTATGAGTGATGATAGCATGTTCTAGTGATTTTTGCTACTGTACTGTGTCAAATGTGTAAGATTGAGCGCCGATCGAGGGACATCGATTACACTTAAACCAGCTTATAAGAAACCTCCATATAACGAATTCATCAATATAACGAAGTTTTTCTATTCTCCGCCGTTGCTCCATAGAAGCACGTGTATTTGTGACCTCTGTGTAACGAAGTAACAGAGGGAGACAACCATGATATCACAAGTTTTTCCCATGGACAATATAGGAATTTTGCACCAGATTTTTTGGTACGAGCATGGATCTTGCGCAGGTGTCCCGCCGCTAACGAAGCGGCGGCAGCACAGACGGCGTGAGCGAGTGCTCGTGAATGTGGCGAGCCAGCGTTGTGGCCATTCTTCCCGCTACGAGTGCATGTGCGAATGGGCCCCTTCTCCCTTTAAACCAATAAAAAAAAACTACTTTTGCGTTGGCAATGCCATGCTTTTAGTTAGCATCACATATGTGGGGCCGCGCTGCACATGGAGGGTGCTTTACCAAATAGTTTTACACGCTATCCGTGTTTGTGTTCGTGTCGTTCACTCTTTGTTTTCGATGCTGTGCGTGCATGCATTGTTTCACTGTGTGCGTGGTGTGGCCCCTGAAAACGTTCAGCTTTGCTTTTTTTAGGGGCGAAGCTCCTTAAGGCGTGGGTCTCTTTATCCTCCACTGTTGTCGTACGTAGCCACCGGGATGCGAGATGGGAGATGGTGGTATTTGGAGTGTTCATTAGATGGGCGCACAAACGAATGCATCGATAGACGGGCAGACAGACCAGCAGACGAACGGACGCGCAAAGCGGGTATGCGCCCCAGGGGATGGGATATAGTGGTACTTGGAGTTCTTGTTCACCTATTGTCCGAGGCGCATAACCACTATGGGGTATTGGCCAAGAATTAGGCGGTTTTAAAAGTTATGAGTGTTCACTGGATGGACGCATGGACGGACGGACAGACATACTAGAAGACAAACGGACAAATGAACGGATGCACAATGAAAAAAACACCAGGTCCAGCGCAGTGTGCTCGTGTGTGCGCTAAAGCTTCAGTATGCAGCAATACCAACTAGCCCGTCTTTCAGTATTATGAACCGCCGAAGTTACGCGACCACCGACCCTTCTCATCGTATGTTCACATTGCATGGCGGCATTTTATACCATTGCAATGTTGAGTCCTATGGTCCTGAGCTCTTACTAGTCGTTCCCAAACACCTACAACTGGCTGTGCTTCAGAAATTTCACGATGCTAGAGTGGCTAGAACGGGGAGGTGTGATAACTGCAGCGGTGCTCTCATTGCCTAACAAGGCCACACTGTGCGTTCTCCCCGTTGGGGGAAAACTTGGCACGTCAGTCAGGGGCGCCGTTGGCATGTGCCCACTGGGAGCATATGTTTCTTGTGTCTCGTACCGAGCAGTGCTGTCAGGGAAGTGTGGCCTGTTTTTCTACAGCTTCCCAATTCCTTGACGAAGATAGTGTCAGTGAATGTCGTCGATTTTTGAACCGCTCTGAAGAATGCCGTCGACTGGGAAGAACAAATTGTAGAGGTGGTGTTTTGTGCCAGGTTCCGATGGCGACTTCAAGTCCTGCGGCATCAGTTCAACAGGTGCAGCACCATTTCAACTGCGAAGCATTTCTTAGCGAGCTTCAGTGACTTTAAGTGAGTGAGTGAGTCTGTCTGTCTGTCTGTCTGTCTAGCCACTTACGACTTTTAGCTCTCCAGGCTGTTTCGATAATGGTATCAATACCAAACTTGGTGTGGCATAACATGATTGAGTGAACAACATATTTGACTAGTCATAACATGAAAATCATGACATGTACATCATGAATGTCATGATTTACATGACATGGTCCTGCAGCTCTTGCGGTGGTTTCGTTCACATGACATGTTGCAAAACTGGTATGGTATGACATGATTGCATGGCGAACACAAGTGACAGGCCCTAACATGCAAATCATGAAATGCAGTGTCATGTAACAACATGACTACATGCCACGCTCATGATACACTCGCGGCCATTTCGCTAGCATCACATATACCAAATTTGGTATTACGGTACATGAATGGATGACGAAGGTATGTGAATGGCGCAAACATGATAAACATGATACGCGTGTGATGTAACTTGACTACGTGCTACGCTCATGATGTGCTCGCGGCCGTTTCGCTGGCTTCACGTGCACCTAACTCGGTATTACGCGAGGCCAACAGCCGACATAGGTAAATGACACATTCAAACATTACAATCACGACATGAGTTTCATGTAACAACATGGCTATATGCCCCACTCATGATGCGCTCGTGGCCGTTTTGCTAGCTACACATATGCCAAATTTGCTACTAAGTGACGCCAATGGATGACGAAGGTATGCGACTGGTGCAAACATAATAATCATGAGATGCTGTCATGTGAGAACACAACTACATGCCACAGTCAAGGCGCCAATACATTTCGACATGACACGGTGCGCGTGCTCGCTGGCGTTCATTTCAACGTGTCAGCCGGCGTTGCCACGCCAGGCGCCGGTCCTGCCATGTACTCACAGGCGCGCGCGGCGCTGCGTTAATTTGACGCTTGTGCCTTTCAGCGCGACCGGCGTCCCTTCGT